TTTTTTTAATAAGTCTTACATAGCAGGAAAGCAATAATGAATTGAAACTAGGAAATTCTGGCTTTGGCTGGCATTTTTAGTGGATTTGTAAATCCCAGCATTTAATTAGCTGAGGTCCTTACATGATGGATATTTATAATGTGGAATTTTGGGAAACACGTTTTTGGCTATAACGCTTTCTTTATTCTTGTGCTTTCCTGTTGAGCGTAGAACACTCTTAGCTGTCTAGCAGGTGTGTCCTCATGATAGAGCAATGCATGCTCCACAGCCTTTAAACCCCTTATTGGCCCACTTGTTCCTGGATCCCAGGAATTATATTCCTTCATTTTAATGGGTTTGCAAGACCAGTATTTTTTTACCCTGAAGGCTGCAGTATATTGTAAAGTTTTCAAGTTAGCTGTCAGGTTCTAAAAGCGACTTGGTGATGGCAGCTCAGAGATCTGTTTGAACTCATTTAACCTGTTGAGGTGATCCTCTACTGCTGTGGCTAGATTGCTTTTGTTATCTCACTGGTCTCATGTAAAGCTGATTAAGGTTTCTCTGTCCTACACTGAAGTCTTCACTGTAGACATTTTGTGATGACTTTGTAGTCACTTTACTGTGCTGAGTGGCAAATGCTAGTTTTAGAGGAGCATACTCTGCTATCTGTAGAGAAAGGATCAATGCTTGATTATGCTGATGTGCTTGCAGCTTTCCTCGAAAAAATGTGTAAGTTCAAGCACAAGTAACTTGATTCCTTTTACTTGCCTCAGGGTAGGACTTAAGTGTACATCACTGTCTATCCCCTCACAATGTCCAGATATCTTTCCTTTAGGAGAAAAACTAGGCTTATTGGCAAAGAAGGAAATAATACATTTGAGAAGATGCAGTGGTCTGGACAATGGGGGAGCAGAACTGTAGAGTGTATAGTGGAACTCCACTGTTGCTACATGTAGGCAAAAATATTATAAATCCTCATATCTTCACTGATCTCAGTAATTTACACAAAACAAGGTTCTAACCCAATGTGCCCAATATTTCTGCTATGAGGTGGCAAACATAGCTATGTCCACTGAAGTGAAAAATGTGGTTTAGTTACTTATATAGATTGTAGAATCAAGGTGAGTGGCAGCATCTGTTTGCGGGAAAACAAAATGACCTTCTATGTAAAGTGACTGAATCTGTTGCAACAGCTATCACTTCATCAATATGGGATTGGATAGAGATGAGTCTGAAACAGCAGCACTTACATGGGTGAGTCAATATGCAAAAAGCTCTAGAACTATCAATCTCTTTTTTAATGTAGGTGGGAAAAGGAAAGCTCAGGATGGATAATTTCTGCCTGTAAATAGCAATGATGAGGAAATACAGCTCTCTGTGTTTGTTGATATGGACTAAAGCAGGAGATGAAACACCTTTTCCTTTCTCCATGACAAAACGTTGTATGCACCCCTTCAGGCATAAGTAAAAGGCCTGGTTGTCTTACATAGGTGGAAATCAGGCACGACCTTGCTGGAGTCACTGGAATTACACTAATGTAAGTTGTTGTTCTTAACATCAAAATCAAGACCTGAAAATTGATGACTCTGGTTAGTTTGTTGGATACTGACATGCAGATTATCCTGAACTATTTTTGTCTCCCTGAATTATTCTTGCTTTCAATGAACTGTTTCAAAGAACACCTTATATCCACTAAGTGGAAAAATTTTTCCTCCTGAGTAAGGCAAGGTCTGGAACATAATGTTTCCAACTTAATCATAGAGCTGACATGTTACATAAATGCTGTGTTAAACTCAGAACATTATTTGTAATTCCTTTAGAAAAGAAAGCGGGATGAGCACCATCTGTACGCATTGTTGTTCTTCTTGTGCCCTGATAGAAATCAAACCAAAAGAAAGAAGTACCGAGTCCAGCTGAGCTGCCTCTTACTTAATTTGGGCACTGGATCTTTCAGTAGTGAAGAAATACATTTTTATTTAAGTATCTTTCTTTCTGTCTTACTAAATGACTCTTCAGAGTACTTTGTAAGCACATGAGGCAGTGAAGAAGGTCCTTGTACTTTCAGTTGCTAAAATAGTACTGCAATATTTCAGTGTGTTCTTTGGAGTCCAGAGACAGAAAGCGAGCAGCTGGCAAAAAAATGGTATGAAATAATTTAAAAAGTGGTTAAATGTCACTAGTCTTGGATAATGCAAGAAAACAAGCAGTAGTTACTGTAAAATGTTTATGCAGTGCTTTGAATTTATTTATTCTTTTTAAGCAAAAGCAAATGCAGGCTTTCAGTGGCTAAAAAGCCTGCTATCGAAACATAACATTGGTATGATTGAAATAGTTACTTTTTTCAGTGCAGCAAATAAGACAAAGCTAGCTGGGGAAGAAAAGATAGGCTTAAAAAGAAATCTGCTAGCTGAAAGAAGTAAAATAAGATTTAATTAAATATTAATGAATGTAAGATTATGGGGTACCTTCTAATCCTCAATCCAATTTATTTAACACTCTTTGTCTTCAGAGGTACTTAATTGATCAGAAAGTGGAGAGTGTTTAAAAGGCATAACTAGATTTTTTTTTTACATTTCAGGAGTTTGATGAAGGACCTGACTAGGATAAAATAAAAACTTCTCTCCAAACAAATGTTCTTATATGTTTGTATCCTTTTGAGTGTGTGATTTATTTGTTTATTTGTTTTTTTGTTTTGAGACCAGAATAGGTAGTGTTGAAATAATGACAATGGAAAGCCAGACTGCTTTGTTGTATACCCAGTGGTTCTGCAGCATAACCCTGATTAGATGGCTAGTGTGTGTATCATGGCATATGCAGAGAAATAAGCCTACTAGGTTTTCTGCTGGAAATGTCAGGTTGGTAGAGTATTGTAGAAGAGCAAGCTCCTTCTATAATTTTTAATTACTTTTCACAATATGTCTTTTTCCCACAGAGGGTTTGGTTTTCATCAAGGAACTTGAATCTTGAAAGCTTGATTAATTTCAGTTTGGATATGAAACGGCAGTGCTTCATGTGAATTCTTTTCTTCATCTTAACAGAATTGTCTGAGAAAAACTATGCTTAGGATTACCAGGAGGAGGGACCAGAATGCATTGTGGGGTCTATCAGAGATCTTGAACTATAGAGAAAGACTAACCCATGCAGTTATCTAAGTACAATCCTTGGGAAGCATTGCATATGCATCTTTCAAGTGAAAATAATTTGGTTTCTAATTTTTACTAGAAAGGAAAAAAATTCAGGTGAGAATTTTACTGGAATGGCTCTACTATTCATGTAAAAATGACCAAACAGGTTAATATATATGATTAAAAAAAAGAAATATATAGATGGGAGATTGATGTATGAAATAGAGAGAGACAACACAGTAGGAAAAAACCCCACAATATAAAGGTAGATTCATGATCAGGAGTGAAGCCTGTCGTATTAGCTTTCCTATTGCCTTCTGTTGCTTGAACTTCCTTAACACCATCTTGTTGTCTAGATTATATTCATGTTTATTGCAAAATTGTGCTGGTGGTATGTCTGCATATGTATATGTGTACATGTACGTCTACATCCTTCACATGCTGAGTTGACCAAAAGGTGTGTGACCATGTTAGCGAAGATAAAAACTATTTACAGGTCAAGGACTTGGTGCAATGCTCAGGTTCTCACATAGTTGTTGATTAAGGGTGGATATGGCTGTATTTCACTGGTATGTGTTCAAATTGTGTGTTGGAGACAAACCCGTTTCTACCTGTTTCTAACCAGCTGATACTTCTGCTGATGCCCTTCCTAGGTTAGCTAGGAGATTCCTTAGAAGCTACATGGGCTTAATTTACTGATAAATCCCTCACCAAGGCAAATTTTCTCAGCTTCACTAAGTTTTCCTGAAATCAGGTTAAAATGAATCCTAAGAGGGTGACCTTGAATCTTTTTTACAAGCTGTAAAATGTTTTACCACAAAAAGCCCTGAACAGACCACAGTCTTTGAAATCAATCTGTTTGATTTTATAGATGTAACTTTCTCAATGAATAAACTCATTGGGAAGCTACACATGGGAAGGGATTAGTAACTTGTAATTACATGCAACACCCACTGAACTGCTCACTGACTACAGTAAAATGCTACTGTAGGGCAGGTGGGTTCACTGGCTCCGTTGTGGTCAGAGCCATGAGCCGTGCCCACTGCCTGCTGCCCACTGCCCAAATCCCCAACCCTCACAGCTAACCGCTTCAAGGGAAAACTCTGTTTTCTTTTTTTTCTCTTATTAAGCGCAATGTCTTTATTCATTTATTCAGTAGCGAATAGCTGTGTAGAATACTCACATGTTTGTAGCTGAGATAACCATGAATCCACTGATTTAGGGCCACTAAGACTCACTATACAACTAGAGGATTGTAAATTATGCCATATTGAAATGGACCCTCGGGATAAAGCCAAGTAAAATTTTCCTCTTCATGAAGGACCCTGTTTTACTCCTTTTTTTGCATATCTCCTATTAGATGAAGTTAAAGTCTTATATACTACTTAGAAATACTTAGTACTATACACGTCCCTGCTCACATCACAGAGAACGAAGTGCTGAGCAATGATACTCTGAAGAAACTGAGCCTTCCTAATACCTCTCCATACATGTCTATAGCTTATTTGCACACAAAAAAAATCCCATGGTCATGCCTGTTTAAGAAAATACGTATAATGGTAGATGGAATACAGAACTCTTGCACATCTGAAACTACTTCATCCCATCCAAAGCCTCCTAGAGTCTATTCAATTCATAGATTTCTTGATGATCAGAACTAAGAGATCAAATGTGGATCCATAAAATCCTGACAGTGTCTATGTCTGTGACTAGGATATAGGAAGGCAGAACTACTCAGCAAGCCTCCTCTATATACCACATACAAAAATGTCTTTGCTGCTGGTGTTATTCTGTAAATACTACAAGTAAAGAAAATGATCTGTAAATTTGAGTACAATACTGCTGCACTTTGTAGCTCAGGACACAGCTTGCTTCCTCACCAGCCTCTCTCCTTACCTTCTTGTGTTTGTAATAGTGTAGGTAGCCATTATGTTTCAGCACAAACCATCTCTTCCTCCAGCCCTTCAATATTGCTGATTGTGTTCGTTTATGCAAATATCCTCGGCAGGTAGGTCTGGGGGTGTTAGGGTAACGGCTGATGTCTGATCCCACCACCATAGTCAGGATATCAGGACCTAGAATATTACATGAAGAATGTGAAAACATAGGTCAAAACTATAATCCAGTCTGTCAACATTTTTGAATACCCCTACAGGGTATGGAGCAGGAAGGCAGTATTCTATCCCATGCCCTTCTCCTCCCAGGGTAGCTTCTAGAAGCAGCAAGAAGCAAAGCAGCCTAGGAAACAATGAATTAAATCAAGCAATATTTGACCTTTTAACAGAAATTCAGGAATGAAACTGATTTTGTGTTGAGGACTAGTAATGGAGACAGCTATCTGAAGAGACCTCTTAAAACAGTTTTTGTGACTTACCTTTGCAAGCAGCATCTTAGGTACTTGCATATTTTATCATTTTAGAGAAGTAGTTGGATTTCATTGCTCAAATGGGTATGCATAAATTGGGGTTTATACAAAAATTGTTGAGATTGTTCTCAGAGGCACCTTCAGCCTCTGCTATCTTACACACGCTCTTGAGAATTCTTTCTTTTCCATGTCTTGGAGTCTACTAACATTTCCTGCTATCTGTGCCCCTCACTGCGGGGGCTTGCTGTTGGAGGCTAACCTGTGCTAAAGTATCTACTTATCATTTTCAAAATGTAAGTGCTCAAAGGAGATGTTAGGTTGCAAGATTGTCTAAAAATATGTTATTGTTATCAACAATGAGGTACAATTTCATAATATTCGCTGATGCTATCAATACATCTATGGCTTTGAACCTAAATGCCTGAAATTCTGATTATATCAGATACTGCTTCAGAGCAGATGGCAATGCCTTAAAGAGGATTGAGAAACGTGACTATTACACATTTTCATTTGCAAAACATTTGCTGGATTTCTCTTTTGGGGACATTTGACTTCAGGAATGCTGTCTGTGTGCCAAGATTTAGGCCAGGGGGTGTTCTCTAGGGTGTTAAAAATACCTAGTAATCAGAGATTTATCTACTAAAAGACTCGACATACTCTTAAATATAACAGTGTGAATAGCATCTCTATAATTAAAGAACTTGGTATGTGTCAAGTTAAATTTGTCACTGTCTTGTAAAAGCATTTTAATTTACTGAATTTCCCATGAGCCCTTGTCAAAATCTTATCTGGGATAAATAAAAGAACAGCAGTAGATTAACTTTCAGCATGCAAACATGGATATCTTTAGGATTTAGTCATGACAATTGTAGGAAGAATATGTATGATTAATATCGATGACTCCTTGTTTCTGTGGTGCTGCAAAAGGATGCCTCATGAAATAACCTCTCTGCTCTCCTGACTAGACTCCAGTTCCTGGTGACACAGAAATAACTACTGGGTGACCTGAACCAAGCTGTGAAGTCTCTCTCTGAGGAAGCATAAGGCATAAATAAGATTTTGGTGCCTCCACGGTCACTTTCAGGACCTTCTCAGTCACTTTCGTTAAGGCAGGAGCACCAAAATCATTACTGTCACATGTACTGTTTGGGGAATATTTTCTATGTCCATTTTCTTATGTGTTCCTAGCAAGGTCTAGATAAAAAAGTAACTTAGGCAATTCTACTGTATTAAATACTAATACATTAAACTTTTAATTAAGATTTCTGTTGCATCCATCACCCAACTTGTCTGTACGTATTTCGAGCATTGTACACCAAACCTGACCCATCTGTGTAATTTGTTGTGATCTCAAACTTACCTTTCCTTGCCAGATTGACAGCTTCTGAATGTGGCATGCTGGTGACATCAGTTCCATTGACTGCTATCAGAATATCCCCGACCTGAAGCCCTGCTTCTTCAGCTCCACTGTCTGGAAAACCAAACCAAACCAAACCATTTTATTTAGAGTTAGGATATCAAGCATATCTATGTGATCAAGTTTTTCTAGCAAAATGGGTATCTGTCCAACCAGTCGAGGATTATGCTTTGGGGCCTTTGTGATGTCAATGTGGAGGTGGAGCAAGTTTTTCTGAGTGAACTGTTAGTCATCTGTAAATGAAACTTCAGGATTTAGGTACTGGTTCAACACTAGATAACCACTGGCAGTGGAGAAAGTTCATTAAAAATGCCATTGGAACTTAAATGCTTTAAGACGCAAATAGGCATTTCAGTATCTGAGGGTTTTGGCCTGAAGTGCAAACAAAGACCTGGTACAGTGTTCAGTAAAGTCAGTAGAAAAAACATCTATTATTCTGGTAAGCTTTCAATTTAAGACCAAAAGACTACTTTCCGTGCTGCTGTTTCTCTTGTTGGTTAACAGAATTTGGCTATAGTATTTTGTGGGTTTTGTCTTTAAGAGGAAATAACATAAGTTAACAAAGGGTCAGTGAAGGAGGGACTGAATCAGATTTGTTAATATTTCAACCTTTTGTTTATTTGGTAACCGTTGCAAAGCATATGCACTCCCAATAAAATAGGGCTCAGACACATGCCAGCCAGAAACGGGGGCAAATTAGGAAAGTGATAAATATGGTACATTCATGGGCACCAATACACAGTTACTTAAATCCCAGTTACAAATTTCTTGGACACAATTTTTCCTTCTCATTTATAATTAAGCATTCTTAATGCACTGTGAAAACATTGTTTCTGGAAAATATTGTTCTATGTCCATACTAATTAATGTATTTTTTAAAAGATTTTGTACCCTATCATGCAGTAAGTGTGATCATTCAGTGTATTTCTGGGGATGCTTAGAAGCTGTAGGGAAGAGATTAGTAAAAGCTTGATAATAAACAGGCATAAAAAAGCCATGGGTCATCCTCACATGTATTACAAATCACTTGCAAATTTGCAAATGCCAGCACATTTTGGTTTGTCCTCACCTTGAGGATCACATACAAGACTTTATGATTATAAGTGGTCTTTATTATTAAAATAATGTCTCAGTGTCCAACAAAAAGGGATACAAATGCAATTTTACTGTCTGTTTTAATGAAATAAGTCATATTTTGAGAAAACAGAATTTTACTAGAAGTTTGCCTGTAAAAAAAGAATACTCTTTTTTGTTGTTGCTGTTTTAAAGTAACTGCATTTCAAAATAAATCAGTAGCTATACTCACATTGATTGCTTAATTAGTAGGTTACAGGATTAAATTGGTAGCTATGAGGGTGAATGTTGTATGCATGACCTATGATTTATTTATATTTAGGTAAAAAACTTTCCCACATTCTAATTTGAAAGACCTCTTCTGAGGTTATGCCCTTTGATACAAGAACACTAAGGGAATCTGTATGTTTACAATTGGGAAATCATCTGAAACTTTAATGCTAGAGAGAAGAAACATTTATTTGCAACACAGAGAACTTTTTATCGATAGGTACTGAAATTCCCAGCCATATGATAACAGCTAGTTGTGCAAGCACATACACCTTGTTGCCACTGAGCTATTTAGACAAATGATGGCTGAGTCCAGCAATTTTGTCTTCTTAAAATACTCAGCAATGAGACATACTGATCTTTAACCTTGTACTCAAAAGTAACATTCTAGTAAGATGAGCAGAACAAGTTTTTTTCATTCAAAATTACTTTCTCAGATTCACGTAAATCACTTTTCGCATAAGTTATACTGTGAACATTATGTAGTCTCAAGGACTATTAAAAAAAAAAAAGTTCTGGACTAGAAGTAGGTAGCTGTTTCAAGATGAAGAACATTGCATAGCCACTTCAGCCACAGTTTAATCTCACTAAGTCCTTTATATGGTATTCTGCAGGCAAAGGTTTTTTAGATTTACATTATTGGCAAAGCTTCAGTTGATAATGGAAATTCCTGATATGTATAAATACAGAATGATCGCTAGAATCCGGTGTCAAAATCATGTTTATTTTCATGTAGTTCACAGTAAAAAATTATGACCTCTTTTGATAAACAATAGGCATAGCCATATAGAAAGTAAAACAACCACTTCCAACTTTTCCCCTTATTTCTTTTGAATAGGTATGTCCTTTGCCTGATTCCCTCTTCTGGACTGAAGGGGTTTTTTTAGTATTTAATAAACAGAACTTTTGCTCTGAGGCAACAAGTTAGAACGACTTAAAACTGAACAGCATTATCATGCAAAAAGCATAACTGAGGCATAAATCTAACTATGTTCTTATCTTAAGGGGATGCACGGGTTTCTAATACAAATTTTAGAGTTGTAAAGTGTTAGTAAAGTGTTGACCTTTTCAGAGATGTGATTTTTTTCCTCTCCATGTTGCTCCCTTGCTCAGATTTCTGACTTTTCTAACCTTCCCAAGTGGAGTTTAATGATGACCCTATTTAGTAGCTCAGCAGGCAGTTTTTAAAATGATGGGCTCAGCTAATGGATTCACAGGCCTCTCAATTCACAGGCTTTCCCAGTGTTGTCAGGAAGCTGGAAAATATAATACATAAGGCTGGTAAAGTGACAGAGCTATTCTTAGATGCCTTGCTAGAGGCCATGCACTAGCATTCTTGGTCTAGAATGACATTTTTCATTGTATCTGCCTTTGGTAGTAGAAATCTATCAGTCTCCCATAACTTCTGCTCCTTTTCTAATTCTACTCTGTCCATCCTGAGATGCAGAGGGCAGTACAGCAAGCAGTACTCTAGATTTGAGTGAACCAAGGTTTTAGGTAGCAGCAAAATGACTCTTACTCCCTGTGTCTCATTCTCACAGCTGTTACTGACAGAGCCAGATTTTAGCCAGAATTCTAAGCTGCCATTGCACACAGAGCCGATGATTTCAGAGACCTCTCAGTGGTGACTCCCAAGATCTCATTTGTGAGCGTAACTGCCAATACCATGTTCTCCATCATGTAGGCATGGTACAGATAATGTCTGTCTAGAGGCATTGTGTTACACTTCATCTTTGTTGAAACTCATCTGCCACTTTTTGCTCACTCACTTAGTTCTGTGAGTTTCTTCTGGAGTTCCTCATAATCATCGGACTACCCTGCAGGAGTTAACAGCACACCTGTTAAGGTGGCTCAATGGAAACCCATCCAAGCAGAAGTGTCCCCAGCTAATAAGACTTTTGGAAATGTTGTTATGAGGATCACTGCATCCTCCATTTCATTCTTAAAGGCCTGTTGTCATTAACGGATGTCAGTCCCTGAAAGTTCTAGACTTTACATCTGGAAAGAGCCTGGATGCAGACACTTGCATGAGGTAGCAACCGGCATGGAAGGACACAGAACAGTAGAGTCCCGATTACCCACAGGCATACCGGGGCCCTAAGATAGTTTGTCATGAGCAGTTCAAGGACATATTATTAAATACCTTACACCCACTAATTATGGCAATTATTTATGTACATCTATATCACATATTAGTATAAAATGGATGTTTTATATTATGTAGATCATATTATATCATATTATATTACTAAATATTATATATTTATTTTTAGATATGTTCATAGGAGAAATTGACTAGTACAAACACAACTTACTTGTGTCAACTTCAGTCACAAGGATAGGCTTTGAGAATTGGATCCTGAAACCCCAAGGGTAATTGCCAGTTCCTTTAGCAATCTTCACCGTTCTTTCACGAACTGCAAAATAGGAAAAAAGACATCCCTTTTTCTCTACAAGTCAAGTTCAATTTAACAAGCAGTAGCCTGTTTTTAAAACTTATTATCTATAGGCACTGACAGTTACTGATTCCACAAATGGCTTTCAGTATCACTCCCAGCTCTTTGGTGCTGCTCCTCTGCCACTGTGTACCCCCCTCATGCCACAACTGTTTGAATGTCATTCATGTTAGGGCAAAGACAAACAACATCAATGAAGTGTACTTTCATCAGCAGTTTAAGTTAAGTGCCTGGACTTTGCAATGAAGAGGTGGAGAATTGTTCAGATATTCCACTCAACCGCCAGTTTCTGGTAGAGAAAAGTGCTCAATGCTTTCTGTGTCAGACTTCTAAGCTGCAAATACAAATACACTCTAAATTCTCAAATTAGTTTAAATCTGTTTCTTATAGTTTAATTATTTTTATATTTTATAAGGTCTCTGTCTTTTGGATACCAATTGTTTCTTTTCCTTCCATCTACCCTTCCCTGTCCCCACTCCCACTGCCTCCCAGTCCTCTAGTCCAACCCCCCACCACACTGGCATCTCCTGGCACCAGTGGCTGTACCCATGTGAAATGTCTTTCAAGTCAGCAGAATTTAACATGTAAATGGATCACCCTCAGTAAAAAGGAAGATCAGGGTCTAATTGCCTACTTCCAACCTTTTCTCAGGGTCTAGTATTATTATCCTGTCTCAAATGGTCTGGCCCATTAGTAAATCTTATACTCATGAAGGACTTCAGCATAAATTTGAATTCTCCGAATGTCTGCTTTTGATCATTTGACTGTCTTACTGTGTTTGTTTAATGGAGGCCAACTTAATAATAATTTATGACACCTGTTTTGTCTTCAAACTGTATACTGTTTGGAAGATAGAAATTACTTTAAAGGTTACTTTACTAGCAGACCAATTGATGTTACCTGTCCAAAAGAGCATAGATACTTCAATATCTACTTTAACCATCTTGCTGAACTTCTGAGCTCTCCCCTGGGAGAAGGGGCAATCAGAATGGCTTTCCAGAGTATTCTCATATATTTTAAGGGAGATTTTTCATATCTGGAGATTTACAGAGCACATTCATTTTGTCTCATATTGTGAATGATTTATGAACTCCAGCAAAGAGAACTCCTAGAAAGCTACAGGAGTGTTTCAGTTTGTCTTAGTTCTCTGAACAGTAACTTAACATCTGAAAAGTGAAGGAAAACCTCCCATCCCTCTGCAAAAGTTATTCACTATATCTGTTTGCTTGACAGGGTTTAAACTACACATAGAACAACCCTCTACACCCATAGCAAACTTGATCCATTTCTTTCTGGTTCTAAAATGTTTGAAAGTTTGATGGAGAACAGATCTTATGACCATTATAATACTTTATGTCCACAAATAGCTCTCTATGATTTTGCCGTGCTTGAAGAAGTTATGAAATTACATTGCTTCTACACTTATCATGCAGCAAGAGATGAGGTTTAATTATGACTTTTTGCCAGTATCAATTTTGTCAAGTAATTACACCATTTTGCAAGACAGTAGCTAAATAAGAACTACTTATTTACATTTTTTTAATAGCCATTTATCTTCTTGGATTGTTCTTTTCCTGTCTTTAGCATAAGTGTCCAGCATCTTCTCCAAAACATTGGTCCCCTGGAATCCTGAGTGCCCCAAATTATACAGTTTTATGACATTTATTACCTGTTGCTTTAGCAAACTTACTTGCCACTGGTCTAGGCCTTTTGCTGAGACATCTAGGACTATTATCCGGAGAGACATCATCTCCTCTGAAAACCCAGGCAGCAGAATGAAAGTTTTCTGTGTAAAAACCTCTGTCCTCATTTTCAGAATGTAGTCCCAGATCTACTGACCGGGCATCCTCTGAATTTACTGTCATGAGGATAAAACAAGTAAAAGTAATGTCAGTAGGGAAAATGCATGAAGAATAACAGACCTCATCCAGTCAGCATGGAAGAAGTGCCACAAGCTTCTTAATGAACTGTTTGTAATGTCTGTACTTAGTTCTGCAATTTTACTGCTCTTAAATAGGCAGTCTGCAAAGATGTCCAAATATAAGATCACAATATTGGATGCTATTGCATATTGAACTTGAATGCCAAGTGAAGTCTTAATGAAAATGGTCAAAACAGGAACTGCACCTCTTTAAGAGAAGTCTGGCTTTAGCCAATTGTTAAGCTTTCTTATGCGGCCCACTTGATTAGGAAACCAAATAAGTTTTCTAGAAATTTGTCCTGGTTTCATCTGGGATAGAGTTAATTGTCTTCCTAGTAGCTGGTACAGTGGTATGTTTTGAGTTCAGTATGTGAAGAATGTTGATAACACTGATGTTTTCAGTTGTTGCTCAGTAGTGTTTAGTCTAAAGTCAAGGATTTTTCAGCTTCTCATGCCCAGCCAGCAAGAAAGCTGGAGGGGCACAGGAAGTTGGCACAGGACACAGCCAGGGCAGCTGACCCAGACCAGCCAACTGGGTATTCCATACCATGGGACTTCCCATCTAGTATAGGAACTGGGAAGTGGGGGCAGGGAATCGCCGCTCAGGGACTAGCTGGGTGTTGATCAGTGGGTGGTGAGCAATTTATATATTCCAATCCTTTTATTATTACTGTTGTCATTTTATTAATGCTGTCATTATCACTATTAGTGTCTTCTTTTCTGTTCTATTAAACCATTCTTATCTCAACCCATGAGTTTTACATCTTTTCCCTATTTTCTCCCCATCCCACTGGGGGGCAGGAGTGAGTGAGCTGCTGCGTGGTGCTTAGTTGCTGGTTGGGGTTAAACCATGACAAAATTTAATATGAGTTCAGTGCATATGGGAAGACAAAAGAGGAGTTGAAAGGTAACTGGCATGGCTCAGATAATGATGACCATATTTGCTGTTTGCTTAATCTTAGCTCTTCCAGATGTGTGCATTCAGTTTTATTAAAAAAGAGGTAAGGAAAGAATAGTTGGGGTTTTTTGGTTTTTGGTTTTGTTTTGTTTTGTTTTGTTTTTTAAATATAGAACTTCTAGCTTGTCCTAGGCTGTTGAATATTTGTATGACGGTATATGTGTTATCATGAGGATTTTCAGATTCATATTTTATATTAATTTGCATTCACAATGTCTTGCAATGAGTCCGCTGGGTCAAACCATGTCACACAGTTTAATATGAAGACAGAGGAGAGCTCTAATTCTCTGCTAAAGGAAAAAGCAGTAACGTTCAGGCTCACAAGGAGATAGGACAGCAGGCAGCTGGCTGTGTGACAAGCAGGCTATAAACAGCAGTTTGACTGTGGAGAAACAGGCTATGCAATATAGTATGACAACTTCCCAAGCAGACCGGGAGCTGGAACTTCAAAGCTAAAACTGGGTAGTGAAAGGTATATAAAAGTATAGACCACCACTGACTGTGCTAAGAGACAGACTGAAAAAATGCTTTAGTATAAGTTATCTGAGAAGAAAAAAGAAATCGTGTTTCTTTTAATACAAAATGCTTGGTATAATGCAGCTAGATTAATGCAGCTGGAGAAAGGATCTCTTTGCTTTGTTTATCCTGTTTGATGTGGCAATTATGCAGAATGATTTCCAGTTTCAAAACAGGAAAGTTAAAAATTAACATTTATTTAGTTTTGTTAAGCAGGTTACTTCCTGAATACATCTAAATGGCAGTCTTTTTTCACTTTGACAGTTTGCCTAACTGTGTATATGTAGACAAATACTCCACATCCACTGGCTTCTCCCTTATTATGCAGAAAGTATGAGATGGCAAGATTAACTGTATAAAAAGCTGGCATTATTAACTGTATAAAAAGCTACCAGTAAATAAACAGAAATAAACAAATAAATAAATACTACCAGGCTGATATGTTTAAAGCACATATTAGCTTGCTACCATGAATTTATAAATTAAGAAAACCTAGACTAGCACCAACCAATACAGTACAGCACAGTATTTTGCCAGTTTAGTCCTGAATTGTTATAATTGTAGTAGAGTTTAAAATGTGACTAATAGGCAAAACCAGAAAAATAACTGCTGCCACGCTGGTGCTATGGAGTTATGCCAATACATTTCTTGAATGTCTTTTTGTCTCTTCCCTCGAGCTTTTGGCACAGATGTCAAGCTAAGCAGTTTATAAGTGTCAGGAACAAGCTGCACTGAGGTTCTTCTCAGATGCTGGAAGTAAGCATGTAAGGAGCTGCTGCTTCCAAATATTGATTAGAGATGTCTCAAGTCTGCAATCACCAGGGAACAGCGTAGCTACCAAAGCAAAAGGGACAGAAGTCTCAGGCCTGTAGCATAGTATCCAAAATGATTAGATACTAGGATTTGTGACAGAATTGTTTACTCACTCACCTGTTCTGGAGACCACTTGAGGTTCATGTCATGTGCTACCAAAACCTTTGTCTCAGGGAAAGCTATTCTAGCTCTTGCAACTTGGTTTTTTTTTTTTGGTATGCTTGTTTGGTTTGGTGGGGTTTTTTTGTTTGTTTGTTTATATTTTCTCTATGAAACCTGCGTGTGCTTGATCTAGTAAAATTTATGGTCCAGCTTTATATTCAAGAGACATTACTGTTGAATCAATGAACAGTTTAACTTGGTTTATATATAGGTTTTTTTGAGCTCTGGTAGTTTGACACAGTAACTTTCTATTCTCCTTGCCACGGACTTGAATTTGTCTTAGGGGCAAAGAATGGAAAATGCTACCAATAAACATCTTTTTCATTTCCATGTGAAATGTCAGTCATCCCTGCTGCTTTGTTAACAGCCATTAAAAACTTAGGGATTGACTCAGTTATCTAAACATATGTGGCTAGTACCATATTAGATTCCTTAGGGTATCTCACTTTCTGTCCAGTTACTGCTTCAAAAAGGCATGGTTTCCCTGTAGGTGACATACCTCAGAACTCTACTGGTGTCCCAGCTGGCAACTGACACCTATGTTTAGGTAGGGAATTGAGGCTTTGCTGGTGTAGGACTTACCTCTTCAGTGCAGGGATAGAACATATTTACAGTTTATCTTGTATTGGACTTGCACTGAAGTCTTACAGCTGTCAGTCTTCTGTAGGTTTGCATTTAACCTTCTTCAAAAAGGAGGTTATACATCTACAAATAAAACTTCCCTCACTAAAAGTAACCACTAAAGCAAAAAATATTTCCACAAGGAAGCGCACATTTCTTCATCTGTACAAAGAACTTCTTACATTACTAAAATAGCAAAACAGGAGGCAAAGGCGTGTGAAGTAAGAAGTACCACATATGTTCTCTCCTAGACTACGCAATCCTTGCCTGGGGACTCCATCTGCATGAAATGTAAATTCATTAAGCAGTTCATCTTTAAAGTTCCTTCCCATGTGATTTGAGCTGGTACAGGCTCAAGTTTGGTACAGGCCCAAGCATATGGTGAGGTGATAGATTTCTTAACAAGACAGTTATGGGACTAACTGTTTCAGGAATTGGAGGGACAGTGAAGGATAATCTAGGCAATGAACCTGAAGATAAAAGGTGGAGAGGGTGGTTATCTTAGTGAGGCAAGAAGGACTCCCAGCTCACCATAGCTTTTACATAAGCAAAGTAGGCATCAGGATTATGATTTTTGTTACACCCACAAAGCTGCTGCAGTAAGTGATTACCTACCTGTTCTTTTTGTGCCTAGAGTTTGTCTTAACATTAATTGCATATGGACGAGGATGGTACAATCAACTTTTTTTCAGTTAGATTGTTCGCTTGGTTATATGAAGGAGAGACAATACTAAATCCTATAGTGAGGAATAGTTCAATTGAACAAAAAATGCTTGCTCATGATAATGACTGAGACAGAGACTCAGGTTATGAACTGAAGATCAATTTCCTTAGCTGAAAACCCTGTCAGAATGTCTTTCACATGAAGGAGAAAGAATATAGTCATAAGACTAAAGTACTCACTTGATCCCTCAGTGATTGTGCTGTTTATGGAGCTCCCTCCAGTTGAACTGCATTTTTTGCTGTCTTTGAACTGTTTCCGTCTCCTGGCCCACTGGTCTGTTGTTTCTTCTTGGGAGCTATCACTTGCTCTGGTGTCTTTCATCAAAGGTAGCTTTCTGGTTTTATTCATTTCTGATTTCAAGTCTAAATTATAACCAGACATTATTTGTGAGGAGTGTGTAAGGCAACTTAAGCAATTATAGTGTTTAAAATTTCCACATTCTAAATACAAGAATAATGTAACCAAACACAGAAATGAAAATACCAAATAATACTGAAAATATTCATAAAGTATATCTTTTAGATTAATTGAGGTCTTCATGCAGAGATGAGTACATGTGGTTACCTTGCGGTAGTTGTATCTGTAGTTAAATATCTACGTAGCTATTTGTATAGCACCATTTTTATGCAGAAACATATAAATTGTGCATGGATTTTATTAACAAGTGCTCACACATTTTTGAAGTGGTCAGTATGTAAATATATAAAGTGCTATTTAAACATTAAAAATCTTGCAAGCCACACATGCAGATAAAAGGAGGATATATCTTTCTACATTAGGTTTCTTTCTAGGTAAGGCAATATAAATTTATTCGTTGTATTACTATTTCAGCTAAAACAACAACTGGAAAACAGACTGTATTAGATTCCATTCTGAAAATGCAACTGTACCCACTGGCAAGGGCAGATAGGGAGAAAGTGAGCTCAGCCTCAACAGGCTCCCTAGAAGATTGTGCAAGTGCTCTGTTGGCTCGATAGCCTCTTTCTGACTTCAGTCAGATATCCATCACACACCTGTGTCACTGAGCCTCTTTTCCAGGGCAGCTGACTATGGCTGAGACTCAGGAAACTGATCTCTTGTAGCTCCCTTGTAGTGCCCTTTGCATGAGTCCTTGCCCCTCTGATAATAATTAAGTTCCCACAACACCAGCAGAATTTTAGCTTGCCTGGACTCCTCTCCTCCATCCTGTTTACAACATTTGCATCTGGTTTTCTCCTCTATTCTAGATGCTCTCACTCTTTGTTGAAAAATGCCATTTTCTTTCCAGCATCACTGAATTACCAGGCACAGCAAGTCCCCCATTGCCCCTTGTGCCCAATGTCTTGACTAAGAAGGTTGGTATTCCCACATTACAAGTGGACTTTGATTCATATTAATGAGTCTTAAAACTTTAAATGCTTATACTTCTTTCTGGATGTACACATTTACTCATTTAAGGTAGGACCTCAACAGAGTTGCTGAGAATAACACAGATGGAAAATCAAAATACAACCATAGACCAAGAGGACCAAAGTTACAGACCAGGTGAAGTGATAGGTAAGAGAAAGAACACACATAGATAATTATTAGCAAGGGGCAAAAGGGAAGAGGAGAGAATAAAACAAAAATGCAAGGAATAGCTACACCTTACTTCTGTGCTGTGTGTTTAATCACTGAGGTCTAATGTATGAGAACTCAAGGTTTTTGAGCACACAGGCTTCCTTCTCTGTCTTCTTTCTATACCTTGTTCTAAAGAGATTTCCATTTAATTAATTCTCTATTTATTTTAGTATTTTAGATATTGATCTATATAGCAATATCTACCTATATGTGTATCAATATAGTCTATATAGACTTCAGGTATTTTTGAAATTTCCATTACCCATGCCAAACAAGACAACCTTGGAGGACATACCAGTATTTTCTACAGATATTGTGAGCTAGAAAGATTATTAAAAACTTTCTGATGCTTTTTACTATGATTTGTGAAGATATTTTCCCATGGTAAGAAAGTATGTATTTTTCAATAGTATAAAACTCCTAACCTCCAAACCTACTGGAAACATTCTTTCTGAAGAGGATGATCTGAGTTATATTTGCATATAATTTGATTCATATTAAAAAATTAAAATTAAAATTAAAGTATTTGGAGTGATATTTCAAAAACACACACAGACATATGTGTGTGTACATATTCACAATGTAAAAAGCTTACATTGTAGTGTGCAGTGTCCCGGTATGGCTTTACATTTTTATGATTCAAAACACTCTTTTTAAATGACCAGTTATGAATATGGGTAGATGGATTACAGAAGGGAAGACAAGAAATTTTGTAAAAGGTTAGCTATAAAAAATAGTTCTTTTTCATATGCAGTTTTCTTAACTACATAAAGAGAGGAGAAAAGAAGGTTGAATGATCTACTGTGGTTATTCCATGACATGTAAAGGCTCAGCCAGAATTAAGACTGAGATGTACTTAGAATTCATTATTTCCTTAGCTCACATGGATTCCAAAAACAGATTTATGTGGTTTTAAACACCAACTAGAGCTCTGAGTTCATGCCACATGGCAACTGCAAACAAACCCTTCCTGTTTTGGTGTTTGCTTCTCTCACTAGATGTATAGGATGAGTTGACTGTTTAGTGTAGGAAACTCACTTCTTGAACAAAGTTGCATTCAAATTTTCTTCTTTTTTATTTTATTTTATTTAAGTTACCTGGCTCTACAAGATGGCTCCTAGGACCCTCAACACAATAACTGCATATTATAACGAAATGGCCCTGCTTACCAACATCATCTCTTTGTAAAGTTATAATATACTTTCATCTTCCCCCAAAAGATGTCACCAAAGCACTAAACCATGTACGCAAAAGGTGTGTAAGTAATATTAACTCCAAAAGTCTTATAATACCTACCTTTCTGACAAATCTGTTTTACTGATGATGGGGGGATATCTGCATTCTGGTGAAAATCTTCTTCTATTTCAATCCTTTTCTTTATGTCATCGGAGCTGGATTTGGCTAACTGAGGTAGTTGATGTTCTCCAGACTCTCTCCTTAAGCTATCATCAGTTGACTGTTTACAGCAAAAGTTCTCTGGTCTTTCCTTGATATTTGAATGTTCTGTGAAATTCTCTCTCATTTCTGTATATGGTGAAAAGGTAGATAATATGGCAGCCTGTGCTGAATCATTATGGCAATTGGATTCAACAAGGATACTCCCAGCTATGTCTTGTATCTCAGAAAAGCTTTCAGATTCATTATTTATGTCATGATCGTCAGGATCTAACAGCAAGGATGACAGCAAGGATTTTTCTTGTATACTACAGGGAAGTTTAGGCTCTTTTCTTACCCCAGAGCTGAAAGAATCAGGCATCAACTTAGTGTCACCTTGGATGAGTCTTCGTTCTAGTTCTCCAGTTATCACAGTCATTACTGACCCTCTCCTTTTCTTTATTACCTCAGGCTCTGCAGGGGTTAGGTGAACATTTTGCTGTAAAGGTGAAAGTTGTTTTGGAGCGCTTTCTGTAGATGCATAATTAGTACTTTCCTTGTCATTAATAAGTTCACCTGAAGGGCTTCTAGGACGTGTAGGGTTCTGTAATTCAACATGCTTTTCTGGATGGTTGTACTCTGGTGTCCTTTCACCTAAAGCACCTTTGGTAGACTCAGAGTCTTCCTCCCATATGGCTATGTTTCTCAGAGGCTCCTCATGCCCATTTTCTTTTTTCTCATTAATAGTACCATTGGAATGAAGACTCTCCATTAATGTTTCTTCTGTTTCTTCACTTTGCCCCACATAGTCTGCATAGTCATTCAGTAAACAAGTGTCATCTAGATTTTCTTCAGGCTCAGATGGATAAATGGTAATATTATGATCGAATGATGTGAAAGCATACTGATATGAAGACTTAAGACCTCTCAAACTTCTCAGTGAGGAGGTCAAGTCAGAACACTTACAAAGTTCTGTATAGCTTGTATGAACATGTGAGTTCCTGTTATAGACATCTGCTTTGGTCTCCTTGGGCAATACTTTTAAGGATGGCAATGAATAAAAGCCAGAATCTCTTCTAGGGTGAACTGGTGATGGTACAACAATGGTAGTATCTGGAAAAGACTTTCTTCTTGCTGTTTTTTGCCCTGTTTCTCTGCATTTGTCACAGTTATTTCTTTCTTGACCTAATACTTTGTTCTTACTGGTAAGCTCTTTCCCAGCATTTGGGTTATTCAAGGTATTACTAGCTACAAGACAATTTGTACTATTTATTTTTGAGAAAAGTATTTTATCTTTTGAAAAATCTTCCTTTTCATTGGTGTGGTCTTCATTGTCCTTTTTGCTATGGTTACAAAAATAATTTTCTTCCCCCCAAATTCTCAAGGCTGTAGAGAGGCTGTCAGATTCCTTTCTGTCATTAACAGGGTACAAAGATACACCCTCTGCAATTGTATCCAAATTCATTTTGTCACAGTCAGCAAATTCTTTAGGTGGAGGGAGAAGTGTACATCCACCTGGGAATGTATAGTCTACTTTTTCATGAAATCTAAAAGATGACTCACAATCTGTATTGCAAGGTGCCCCTGTTACAGAATAACCTGTTTCACTCCAATACGTATCTTCATGTTCCCTGTTGCAGGTTTTGCTCTGTGCCTCTTCACCAGGTTTGATGTTAATCTTTAGATTTTTCTTTCTGCTGGTATATTCTACTTTAATTTCCTTTGCTTCAATGTTCATTTTCAGGGAGGCATTTTTGTTGATGGCAGTTTGAATTTTATGTTTAGAGGATCCCTTATATTTCCCATTATGTTCTGCTGAATGGTCAGTTGAAGGACACTGGTACTTTGAACATTTTGAACACTGGCTTTTCTGGTATTGCCTTTCATGAAAACGTTTATTGTTCTTTGAACTTTTCCTTTTTTCAGCTACAACGTTTGTTCCGGAATCAAACAGCAAAACGTTCTTAATTTCTACTTTCACGTTAAAAGAACCATATTTTACTTCTGCAGTAATTTTTCCAGTAGCCAAGCTAATGGACTCTGCAGAGTCTGGCTTGCCCCACAGTGTAATTTTTCCTGTGGATGAGCCTTCTGATTCACCGAAAGTTACTGTAGCTAGGATTTCATCTTGCTGAGGAGAGAACATCTGAGGAGGGAAGTTCTTTTCCTTCTTTCCTTCTTTTTCGCTGTCTGATATGTTATCAAGGTCTCTATCTTCAGATGCATCTAAGCTACTCTGATTCTGGTTTTCATGATTTTTTCCATCTTCTTCAGTACCCTTTACATCCACTGGCTCAGTCAAGTGAGCCAGAGCCTCATCTGCTTTATTTTCAAGGCTTCCTACATTTTGCTGGCATTTACAAATAGGTGACAATTGTTCATCTAAGTTAAGGTAAAAAAAAGAAAAAATAATTTTTCCCATGATTTGGTAAGCAGTATCACAAACGTATGATTATCTTTGAATCACTTTTCATAGAAAATGCCTATACTATCTTTAAAGTGTAGTATATTTTCCAAAACGTTATTTTTTTCATTTCAATAGTAACTTCTTTTGTCTTAATTATCTGATAAGTAATTTGAAGTCAGATAAACAGGGTAGGCCATGTTAACTCACTCTGGATGGAGGACAATAATATATTAACACTTCTTTTTTCTCAGAAAATTTTACAGTTGTTAGGGGATAAGGTATTCTATTTGCTTATAAAAAGGTCTACTTTTTTACTTCCATTACTCCTCTCGGTATTTACTTCATTCCTATGAACACACTGGGACAATCAATATCCCATTGCATGTTTGCAGTTTGGGGTAGATTACATGGATCTTGACTTCATAATCCTTTTACAGATGAGCAAACAGAGGGATTAATGAATATTGTTGCAATCACACAGCAGATCAGTGGCACATTGCCAGGAGGTGTGAGCCACAGCTTGCTGTTTGAAGCAGAAGAAAATACTGTTTTCTGGGAGGAGCTGTACTATGCAAGGTTTCACAGCATGCGTACAATTACATGCTGCCCTTCTTGGACTTTTTTTAGAACAGGCTATGTGCATTAGAGGCTAATAGTTTACAGTGACATCTACCTAAGTAGGATTAGAACAAGCTGTTAAACTTAGACAACATTGGGAAATTTACAGCAAGAATGCTGAAAATTTGAGGTAATTAAACATCAACATCTTTGGAAAGACTTTGCCAGAAATAGCTAGGGTAGCAGCTCAACTAAAACAGAACAACTAGCCTCATCAAGATGTTACCTGTACATACGCACACTTGAGTGTAAATATTTCCAATGTGACAAACAGCTTTGAGCACAAAGATGGATTTCTGTCTTGATAAGTAAATGGAGAATAACCACCTATGATTCTGATGGTTTTACTTTAAATTAAACATTTCTGTAAACTTACATTCTCTGGAATCAAAGCTCTTTCTGCCCTTGTAGCTTTTTCTTCTTTTTCTACTCATTTCTAAGAACTGAGGGCATCTGGGTTCCACTCTTCTGTGTGGGAGGGAAAACATTGGATAATGAGACAGTTTCTCTGGAATCCTTTTGCTCTCTAACTCTCTCAGGCTCTCTAACTTGGCTTTTCTCCTGTGTAAGAACCGGCTGATGATAACGAAAAAATAGAAAAGCGCTAGAGCATGTACTAATGCATCTATTTTCTTCTCTTGGTTATTTGGGACCAAATTTTCGAAGGTTTCCAAATACTAGCTTAAAAACAAGGTCTGATGATCTCAGCTGTGAGGCCTGAACCAATACTCTTTGAAGTCTGTGGGAGATTTGGGCAGTGGCTGACCTTTTCCAGCCTATGATTTTATCTGATTCTGATTTTTAGAGATTAATATTTTGTTTGAAGCATTAATTTTTAATTCAATCTTATTTATATACATAATGAAATACTTAATAATCATTGTTTTTTCTCTTGAGGAAAAATTCAGACCTAGTATAAGAGAATAAAAGGCCTTAGCTAGGACTAAGTACATAACTGAGCTGCATACAGAGCAAACTGACCAATCTGCATCTTACAGTTTGGGTTGCCCCTTGCATTTGTTTGTGGGAAGAAGAAAATTGTTTTATACGATTTTTTTGCCTCATAGGGAAACTTATTAAATGTAAGATTAACTGTTAATGCTGGCTTAGTATTGAAGACTTACTTCACTCAAAGTTAAATGGCAGTGGAATACCTCTCATAATTAATTTTTAAATATTATTCTTTTCACAAAATCAAGAAAATAAAAATTAAAATGTTTATCTGTGTTTCTCCACAGGCCTGTGGGAAATTTCACTGTCTGAATTTAACAAGCCTTAAGAAACATGGTATCAAAGAAGGCTCAGCCTAAGGAAACATTATGGATGCTACTATTTGTGTACTTTAATAATTTGAGACAAATGAAGAATCCCTAGACTCTCAACTAGGAGCTGAGCTTTACATCCATGTTTAGTTAGTCAGTCATTTTTTTGCAGCTGATCACTGAAGTGAGACCTTAAATTTATACTGATCTGAGAAGAATAGCTAAAATCTGGAAGTCATCTCTCATTCCTGTTGTGCAATGGGGCTGAATGCTGACTGAAGGTATGATAGTGATGGAAGAGGTCTGTATCCCATGCAGCAGGGTGACTATGTAGAGGCTATTTAACCAAATAGAATTGGTAGCATTTTCTGGGATTGATATTTGCTTGGAAAATAGACCAAAACTTACAACTTTTTTTTTTACAGTATTGAAATATAATGGAAATAGTCAACTTTCCAAAATAAGTCAATGTCTTAGGATTTGCTTCTGTTATTTAATTCAAAGATTTTCTATTGTATTCTAAATGACCTTGGAATGGATAATTCACATTGTTTGAAATTAGAAGTATTTGAACTGCTAATACATCATTGGGATAGTCTTGAAAATCAGTAGTGTTATGTTGGGAAAAATCAACTGACTGCAAGTGTTATTAGTCATAATATCTTTAGACAATAGCTCATCAGCACATCAAATAAGTCATTGTGGAAAAAGCATGAGTGAATTTTTGAGGCTGCAGACTTACCTGGTGTAAAGGGGATGTATGGATTTTGCTATAACAATGAGGATTAGGATAAAGCTTTTTAAATCATTGTATTGACATTGTAAGACTCATGTTACATGTCACTGTATGCAGTGATATGTAGCTAGCCAAACAACTGGGATTTCAATACAGAGCCATTGACTTCTATTTCTGAAAACTTTTTAATTTTGTGTGAGGCTAAATGACTGAGTATGCCAGTCAACATTCATTAGTTGGCTGCAAAAATGCACTAGATGACTATTTTTGTTGTTCCCCAGGAATTCCACTTTCATGGACATTCTTCCCTGCCTTTTTAGAAGACATTCTAGAGAGACTGAGAAAGTTTTGTATTTATTTCACAGCAGACACTTTGAAATGTTTACATTGTCAATTTTCATGATGAAACTATACCCCTCTGTTTTTTCCAGGTGTCTTTAGTCAAAGCTGGACAGACAGCCAAAGCTGCCAGCTGAGCTCTGTTTTCAGTGGGAAGAATGATCTTAAAGCCAAATACAAGGCTTTAAAGGACACAGAGGCAAGAGCTGGGACTGATATTTATCTGTAGTTTTGGATATGAGACAGTGCCTATCAGTTTCAGATAAACATCAATATTCTTGTACAGAGTTACATATGCAAGTATGTTAAGAGCATAAAAATCATACTTAGAGGTGTCTTATGTAAGATCTGCAGATTGGTGCATATATTTATGACAACAGGAACAACAGCCTAACAGAGCTCCATAATCTGATTGTGATCCTTGAGGTTTCAGTTATATTTCATTAAATTGTAATTGAGAAAATATTTTTACTTCTAGGAATTCTCTCAATTCAACCTAAGGAAGATGCTACACACTCTGTTCCTTCCCCTTCCCCTTCTTGACCTTCATGGTTGTCTTTCCAAAATACTTTCCTTTGTTAAACTATTTTTTGTCCTTCCCCAGGAATTCCACTTCCATGTTTTTTTCCCTGTCCTGTGGTCAGTAACAAAATGGTTAATCTCAATACAGGAAATGTGATTGCTAAGCTTCATTGCTAAAATGCTTTTAAAAATGATTTGCAGATCAAGAACAGCTGCCCGTTTTACTCTAGTCTCTCTTTACATTTGACAGTTAATTGTACAGCTGTATGCACTACACATTACTCTTTACTTTAAAGAAGAAAATCTGTATTATCTGGCGAAAATCTGCATTTTACTGAATGTTTACAGGCCAGGAATATATTTAGTATGTAGTGTTTAAGACCTTTTCTAGGGAAGAATAATAGGCATGACTGTAATCAGTTAGCAATTGATTTGAATTCTGATGGCTTTGGTGATAAGGTTAGCATGGTTTAAGATGGATAGAGAAGTAGAAAAAGTGAAAAGAACATTGGACAATACCAAAAAGAGGAAACACTGCAAGAAGGATGCTGAAATATTGAGACAGACAGTATTGTGGATCAATTCAAATAAAAATCATATTCATTTCATATTCTCCTCATGGTTGTAATGTATGTTTTTGCCAGGCTTTGTCATGGTAAAATATCATATGACTTTGCAGAATAAATTCTAGGTCTGGGATGGTCACTTGTTGTACTACTATTCAAATAACATTTAGTGGCATGGGAAAATCTGAAAGTACTGAATGCAGATAGTGGTGGTTCTCTGCATGCTGGGATTGTGGGAAAAGATCTACCGTCTTCTGAAACTTAACAATCTGAGTGTGCAGTGTGAAACTATCAGTAGAGATAGCAATGGGTCAAAGTTGCTCATAGTGGTAGGATTACAGATTTTGCTATGTGGTCAAAGATGAGATGTAAGACCTAGGTGAACAGGATGATTAAGCTGTTTTGTTTTGGTTTGGGTTTTTTTCAGTTATTTCTGTAATTGGTAGTAAGTAGGTCAAAACTATAATTTAGAATGATTGTTTGCACTGTTCATTTGTGATTAAGACTACTATCTCTCAGATGTTAATTTTCACATTTATATACTATTGATTTTAATCGTAAATGCAGTATGTTAAATTGTTGATATCTTAAAGTAATTTTCAACTAAACATTGGAAAGAACTTTTATGATGCAAATAGTTTTGTTGTCGCTACTACATTTCCATATGTTAATTTATGCTTTCTCCTCTAATGTTTACCACATCAGAAGAGGCACCAGTTCTTTGGTTTCAATCATCTTTTCTGTGCATGTTTTCCTTGCATTGTCTTTGTCTATTCTTGCTTTGCTGGTCCTACAGCTGAGATGTGCTAAAAGAATTAGGAATCTCATAATCTTCAATCCTAGTCACATGAGTAGACCCACTGACTTGTGTAAGGATTAGTTGTATGCATCAGGACTGCAGGGTAAGACCCTGCATTAGGGACTATTCTGTCCACTGCTGGACACTAGATGAACACTAGTCCAATTAGCTTAGATGAGAATAGAGGCACTCAGCAGCTCACTGAGTGGAAGCCAACATCCACTGACATAGTGCTCTATGTGACAGGTTACTCTCACTACAGACAGCAGTGCTTGGGTTAGCTTAGAATAGTAACTAACTTCCTCATTTTGAGTTAAAGAACACTCTCCACCAGAAATACAGCTAAAGCTTTGTCTAGAACGTGTTCATTTTCACTGTGAACGACATCCATAATAGTATTTCTTTCAGGATAATGCAGGTGATGACAAGCTTTGTGATAATACAGGCAACAAAATATTTTTCTGACATATGCCTCTGAGATCATCTTGTTAGGCAGGAAAAGTTGCCTTAAAAAATGCTGGTTGGAAGTAAAACTGAAAACACACGAGTTACTTTACTTTTATATATTTATATAATGGAGATTTTACATGAAAACATGTGTGTTGAGTTTTCTGAACAAGCATGTTCAGTGAATGTATACAGTAATGATGAGTCTGGCAGAAAAGACAAACTAAAAGAAGGAAAGGAAAATATGGAGAAAATATTTAATAATGTTGAATCGGAATGGTGTGGTGACACAATATATTTGCAAAATATTTAATGTTCTTTCAGGATAGTATTAATTGCCCTTTTAGATGGTAAGTCTCTTTCTTATAATTTCAGTATCTTATGTTGTAGAAGGCATGGCTATAAATATATTCAGTGGCAGCTGAATACTTCCCCACTGAATTCTATACCTTTCACAGACTATGGAAGAATGGTATCACAAAATGTCCAAACAAGACTTTCTGAAACAAGAACCTTCTACTGCTCTTCCCTTCTGCATTTCAACTGCATCACACCCTTCTGATTCATTTCCTCCCTCCGGATACAGAATCCTACTTTTTGTCTCCATTGCCCTAGATAACCTTAACTACACTGAATTTTGTTGTCATTGACTTCCACTGTGTCTCATATTTCGCAATATTCTTCTATTCCATACTAATCTTTGCTTTGACTTTGCTCCTGAAGTTACCAACTATGTTTGGCCCAGCCTCACTTGGCTTAGTTC